AACAGGAGCATGGCATTTATACATCCACACCCAGGTCATTACATCACTCCAGATGTGCCCCCATATGCCCATTATTCTCCTGTATATTAACCCCCAGCGCAAAAACTAATAAAGCACACCATCCACTATTTTGGCCGCTACACTACTCTTGTACTACAAGTACCAGCGGTGTAGCTAAACCATAGCAAGTATCAGCTACACATCAATGGCAACAAATCCTAGCTACGCCACTGTGTACTATGTTGGTTTGTAGTCACAGCGTGTATGTCTACATATCATTGAAGTATGGCTAGACTGTTGTTGTTGTTGTTGTTGTTGTTAGGGTGATGGTTTATGAGGAGTATGTTGTGTAAAGTTTGAAACTTAAAACGTGATGCAGACACGACGTGGGTTTTATTTTGGTTTTTTTGTAAGGCGTTTTCAGCAAAGTATGAAATAAATTGAATTACTAAGCAGAGGCTTACTATAGGAACAAACAGTTCTAGGAAAAGTGCCACTATTAATCCTTGAGTAAGATTTAAAAACAAAATGTGTAAAAACAAAGATAATTTTAAAAAGACAATGCACAAGCCAACAACATAATCGAAAATATCAACAACATGACCTCAGAATGGCAACAATATGACATCCGAGTGTGAATAACGGGACTTCAGGATGTAAACAATATGACCTCAGAATGTCAACAATATGTCCTCAGAATGTCAACAACATGACCTCAGGATGTCAACAACATGACCTCAGAATGTCAACAACATGACCTCAGAATGTCAACAACATGACCTCAGGATGTAAACAACATGACCTCAGAATGTAAACAATATGACATCAAAGTGCCAACAACAAAGAAAGAAAAATACAAACGGACCCAAAATCTATCCGAAACCTTTACTTTAAGGTAATGTTAGGTTTAGCACTAGGATTAGAGCTAGAGTTAGATTTAAGGTAATACCGTAATCTCTGTATTTAAGTTCACCAGTGCATGTCTCCCGGCAAATTTAGCTTTATTACACATTGGTTCAGTTCTTGAATGTTTTGTTTATCTTCTCTAATTTAAATTAACAAGATAGATCTAGTAATTTACAGGGTGCTTAGGCCTGAGGATAAATGATCGGGTATTGATTGGTTAGGGTCAGTTTATTGGTCTATAATCCTACACCTATGCATTTGAGTTTAATAATAATTTTGCACGAATACGGTGATGTAGAATTTGTAATCAATGCCGCTTTATTTACTGCCCATCGCCTAGCCTAATTATTTAGTACCAATTGTAGTTACCGCTAGTAGAGTAAATAATTATTTATTGTTATTAGAAAACATGTCCTTTATTCTTTACTTTCACGAAATTACCTCTAATAAATCTCGCTGTAAAATTACCTCCCATATTTCCACCGAGGAAAAAACATTACCTCCCATATAACCCTCTAATGAAATTACTTCCCCTTACATGCCCTACGCTTCGTGCGACAAGACTGTACGGCACATGACAACAGACACGGCCTAATCCGGCTGCCGTGTTGCAGGCTTAATCCCAGGAAATTGGCATACGGTTAATTATCTTAATTATTTAACACGGCAAATCCTAGGAAATTGGCATCTTTAGTGTGTAAGATATGAAACTAATGTATTGGGTTAACGCAAGCATGTGGCATGGATAGATCACCTCATCTTTCATCAAGTTGTGTTGACGGTTGAAGTTTTATGGGACGACACGGCTCTTTTGATTGGAACTGTGTTTACGAGCTGGCTAATACATAAATCATGTCAGTCAATTAAGACAGGTATCGTGACTGTTAGGGCAGGTAGGTTACCTATGGAGGTATCAGGTAGATTACCTATGCAGGTGTTAGGTAGGTTACCTATAGAGATATCAGGTAGGTTACCTATGCAGATATCAGGTAGGTTACCTATGGAGGTATTAGGTAGGTTACCTATGGAGGTAGCCTATCAGGTAGGTTACCTATGGAGGTATCAGGTAGATTACCTATGCAGGTATCAGGTAGGTTACCTATGGAGGTAGCCTATCAGGTAGGTTACCTATGCAGGTATCAGGTAGGTTACCTATGGAGGTAGCCTATCAGGTAGGTTACCTATGCAGGTATCAGGTAGGTTACCTATGGAGGTAGCCTATCAGGTAGGTTACCTATGGAGGTAGCCTATCAGGTAGGTTACCTATGGAGGTATCAGGTAGGTTACCTATGGAGGTAGCCTATCAGGTAGGTTACCTATGGAGGTAGCCTATCAGGTAGGTTACCTATGCAGGTATCAGGTAGGTTACCTATGGAGGTATCAGGTAGGTTACCTATGGAGGTAGCCTATCAGGTAGGTTACCTATGGAGGTATCAGATAGGTTACCTATGCAGGTATCAGGTGGGTTACCTATGGAGGTAGCCTATCAGGTAGGTTACCTATGGAGGTATCAGGTAGGTTACCTATGCAGGTATCAGGTAGGTTACCTATGCAGGTATCAGGTGGGTTACCTATGGAGGTATCAGGTAGATTACCTATGGAGGTATCAGATAGGTTACCTATGCCGGTATCAGGTAGGTTACCTATGGAGGTATCAGATAGGTTACCTATGCAGGTGTTAGGTAGGTTACCTATGCAGGTATCAGGTAGGTTACCTATGGATGTATCAGGTAGGTTACCTATGGAGGTATCAGGTAGGTTACCTATGGAGGTATCAGGTAGGTTACCTATGGAGGTATCAGGTAGGTTACCTATGGAGGTATCAGGTAGGTTACCTATGGAGGTATCAGGTAGGTTACCTATGCAGATATCAGGTAGGTCGATCACAAGACTGGCGGTGCATGTGGGGTTGGTTATCCTTGTGTGCGGGCCACCGGTGCAATCGTTGACAGGTGAGCGTACAGGTAAAAGCTATGGCAGACGAGAGTGCAGGTACACGCGAGGATGCATGACAGCATGACAGACAGGTGCCGATTCTGGAATTAGTCCTGGCATTAGCTGTTTAAGCTACACAGAACTTCATGAACATAAAAAAAAAATCGGAATAATTTTTTCACTACGGAAATATCGGTGTTAGTGAAAAGTGGATCGATAACTTGCCTTTTTAGAAACTAAATCCAAAATACTTTGTGTTCATCTGTTATAAAGAAGGACAACAATGTTGTACATAACCCCGGGTGAGAACACAATATTGACAACAAGACTTATCAGGAACTCATAATGTAAACATGACCTCATAATATCAACATGACTTCATAATGCCAACCTAACCTCAGCATGTAAACAACATGACCTCAAAATGTCAACATGACTTCATAATGTCAACCTAACCTCAGCATGTAAACAACATGACCTCAGAATGTCAACAAAACTGCATCTAAGGACAAACCACCATCACAAAGTGGCTCCCCATTTAGTTGTTTTAATAACCGCCCCAGAATACCTTGCGAATTCCAGCTGTTACGTCATCAGTGCTGTCGTACTGTGTTATGTAAATATGTGTAAATGGTGTAAATGTTTTTTTATCACTGCGCGTTTAACTGTTCTTATATTTAAAATATTTCAAGAAAGTCATAATTCATTCTTCCGCTGAGAAAAAAAAATGTCTGTTTTAATTGTGTAGACCAACATGCGTTTTTCTACATCGGTACCAGTGGCGTAGCTACCGCAAAGCTAGCGTAAGCAAGGCATAGGGGCCCAAGGCAAATAGGGGCCCTTTTTCGAAAGTTTGAGGGGGGGGTGCAAATCGAAAGTCTGAGGGGGGGGGGGGGGTCGCAAATCGAAAGTTTGTCCCCGGTCGCCGGGAAGGGTCGCTATGCCTCTGAGGGGCCCACTAACACGTTTTGCATAGGGGCCCAAAAATCCTAGCTACGCCACTGATCGGTACATTTGTCAGACATGAATTTACACACATTCAAACAACGGACATCTACTTTCCAAATGTTGCAATATCTGAACACAAGTCTCGAAATTTTCTTATATCAACCCCAGCTTTTAAAAAAAATGTAATTTTCAACAAGCAGTACTTTACTAAAATTTAAACTTAACTTTAGAGAAAGATCACGAAATGTGGAAAGTGCTTTTTAAAAAGTATTTTAAAATTAACAAAACCATTGTCTCTGTAATGAGCTTCGACAAATGTGAATGTTATAATGGCAATTAATTGAGATGAATAACCGTAATCACGTTTTAAAGCCAGTTAACGATGTGTTGTCTGTTTCTTTCTCAGGTGACGTCACTTTATTATCAAGTATGATTACATGGGATCAGAAAAACAAGATGTTTACGTCTAGTCTGGACTCGAACCTGAGCCAGGCGGGGGTCGTAGATGTGGGTTAGATCGTGCATGTTGGATGGAGGGTGGCGGGGGAGGGGTAATGTGTTCAGTGGGGGGAGGTATATGAGTACACAAAAATGTGTTGCACAAAAAACTCACGAGTATGTCACAATAACGAACCATTCCATTTGTCAGGAGTTTGTTATGTATGACATTTCGTCATGGTTTAGTGCATGTTGGACATGTCATCTGTATGTGGATTCGATGGATTGCACATACGCGGTGATATGTACTGGATATATGGATTCAGTGGTTAACATATCATTAGTTTGAACTAGATGACGGATAGGGAAAGTAAAACTAACAATGAAAGTGGTGGTTAGTGTTTTAATGTTTGTGTATACGTTGATGGTGGTAGCCAATGTTTAGCCCAGTCAAGTGGTGCTGTACGTGGTGTTTTAGAGTTTACAAGAGATGAGACCATCACACCATGTAGAACACCATCCATCTCAGCTGCCCTAAAATCTTGTGTCTGTGATGTACTAATGAAACTATAGTATGACAGGGACTGTTGCGTCACTTTATATGTTCACTTTAATTGAAAGTCTTAAAGACTGGTTCTAATTTCCATTGAAGATTGGTTTTAATTGAAATTAAAGTTTGGTCTAAGTTACAATTTATAGACATGTGTTTTTAAACAACAGGTCGATAAAATAATAGCATTGATAAAATCTAAAAATTAAAATGACAAAACAATGTACTGTTCACATAGTCGCAGTACATACAATAAAATTGGAACGATACAGAGAAGATTAGCATGGCCCTCGCGCAGAGATGACAAAACAATATTGATTGCAATTTTAGCGACCAAGAAAAAAAAAGCACCTTCTCAATTGTATAGTGTCTCATGAAAGTTACATGTGGTTGTTTGTTTAAATGTAAAATGTTTGAAATAAAAACTATAGCACCGTTTAGAGATATTGATTTAACGAGACTACGCCTAAATGAGTAAAGCTTTTGACCTTAAACTGTGTCCCTTTGCTTTTGCTAAAATTGGGTTGACCTCACAAAGATAATTTTAATGAGAGATCTAATTACTGACGAGCAGATCCTAAAATGACAATTATCTCCCGTGAATTATACTTTTTAAATAAAATAAATTTACCAGGGTAGACAACTCCTAATTAAATCCTCAAAATAAAACGAATTACGTACATGCGAGCTAAACAAAGCATCCCACATATCGTTTGTATATTATTGTTGCAAAAAATGTGCGCATATAATTGTAAGTGATAAACAGTGTCTTAAAAAGTATTCTTCTGGTAATAAAAACTTCATTTGAAATTTCAAACACTTTCATTCTCTTTCTCCGTTGTGTGATACATATAAAATTCTCAAATTTTTGAAGTAGACATGATTTATAATAATTTAAATGAAATTTTTGGATCCCTTTGCAAAAAGGGACAAACTTTAAAACAATGCTATTGAATCAGGGGTCGGCCTTTTGACTTGGAAGAGGCCAAAGTTACAATATACAAAAGTACCCAGATAGCTACTGTCATTTTTATTTCAATATTTTGGCATTTGATTGGGATTAGATATAGAATCTAGTTCTATCTGCTAAATCAGGGGTCTCCAAACTACGGCCCGCGGGCCGGATGCGGCCCGCGATGTCCTCTCATCCGGCCCGCGGAGATCTTTTTGTCCACGGAAAAACAGTTTGTTGGTGATGACTGAGGAACTTTGCCCAGAAAAATCAAAGACATGCCTGGAAGAAACTGGCCCCCGAACTGAAATTTGATAGTTGATGCGGCCCTCGGACTGAAAAGTTTGGAGACCCCTGTGCTAAATGGTTGTTTTAAAAAGACCAGATATCCACATTCTTTACGCTAACACAAGAGAAGGCCCCATTAGGATTTCAGGTTATGGCAGGGGTCGGGTGTCAGGTTATGGCAGGGGCCGGGTGTCAGGTTATGGCAGGGGTCGGGTGTCAGGTTATGGCAGGGGTCGGGTGTTAGGTTATGGCAGGGGTCGGGTGTCAGGTTATGGCAGGGGTGTCAAGTTATGGCAGGGGTCGGGTGTCAGGTTATGGCAGGGGCCGGGTGTCAGGTTATGGCAGGGGTCGGGTGTCAGGTTATGGCAGGGGTGTCAAGTTATGGCAGGGGTCGGGTGTCAGGTTATGGCAGGGGCCGGGTGTCAGGTTATGGCAGGGGTCGGGTGTCAGGTTAAGGCAGGGGTGTCAGGTTATGGCAGGGGTCGGGTGTCAGGTTATGGCAGGGGTGTCAGGTTATGGCAGGGGTGTCAGGTTATGGCAGGGGTCGGGTGTTAGGTTATGACAGGGGTCGGGTGTCAGGTTATGGCAGGGGTGTCAGGTTTTGGCAGGGGTTGGGTGTCAGGTTATGGCAGGGGTCGGGTGTTAGGTTATGGCAGGGGTCGGTTGTCAGGTTATGGCAGGGGTCGGGTGTCAGGTTATGGCAGGGGTCGGGTGTTAGGTTATGGCAGGGGTCGGGTGTCAGGTTATGGCAGGGGTCGGGTGTCAGGTTATGGCAGGGGTCGGGTGTCAGGTTATGATAGGGGTCGGGTGTCAGGTTATGGCAGGGGTCGGGTGTCAGGTTATGGCAGGGGTCGGGTGTCAGGTTATGGCAGGGGTGTCAGGTTACGAAAGGGGTCGGGGTGAGGTGTTAGGTTATGACAGGGGTGGTGTGTGATATTATGACAGGGGTTGGGGAGGTGTCAGGTTATGATATGGGAGGGGTGAAGTGTCAAGGTATGACACCATTGTGAAAACCTGAAGCTAAAAACACCTGTTTCATCAGGAATGTGAACGTGAAACACGCCTCAATTAAATTAGGAAAAATAAATTCAACATAGCAGCCGACTGCAGGTAAAGTTTTTAAAGATGTTATGACATTTTCGCTAGAGGAGAGGTTTTCAGTTCTGTCCACATCTTTGTCATTCTCTTAAACCATTGGGCAGCTTGTTGGGCAAATTGTTGGGTAGTTTGTTGGGCTTCTTGTTTTGTCGACATGTTTAGCAACTTGTTGGGTAATTTGTTAGGCAATTTGTTGTGTAATTTGTTGGGCAACTTGTTGGGTAATTTGTTGGGCAACTTGTTGGGTAATTTGTTGGGCAAATTGTTGGGTAATTTGTTGGGCAAATTGTTGGGTAATTTGTTGGGCAACTTCTTTGGCAATTTGTTGGGCAAATTATTTGGCAACTTGTTGGATAAGTTGTTGGACGAATTGTTGGGTAATGTTTTGAGCGACTTGTTTAGCAACCTGTTGGGCAAATTGTTGGGTAGCATTTTGGGAAATATGTTGGGAAACACATAAAACAAATTTTAATGGAGTTTGAAATCCCACACAATTTTGAGTAGGGTCATCAGGTACACTGAAGTATTGACGTATGTCCTAAACAGCAGCACACACACATTCAAGAAAACATGTTATTATTACACCTTTTTACCCGTGTTTTTAACTCCAATACAAGGGATTAGTTCTGAAGTGCACATAAAGTTAACACATTAAACAGACCATTTGATCTGAAGTCACATGTCACATTAAAAAAACTATTTGATCTAGGGTCGCGTGACCCATTGTGATGTCGAAAGCAAGTGGTGCCTCACAGCACGCACTTGTATCGGGTTAATGATGACGTTTGAAATAAGTCGAGGAATTATTCAAAGCGAGATGTTTATCTACTAGAAAATATGAATCAGCTCAAGGCTTCTCTACAATGGGAATCGATGAACGAAACTTTTGTAAGTCCAAACCACTCACACAGCGGATTATCTTCTCTCACACCACACATGCGCCAGATTATATTCCCACACCACACACATACATACACCAGATTATATTCCCTTACACCAAACATACACCAGATTATCTTCCCTCACACCACACACATACACCAGATTATATTCCCACACCACACATGCACCAGATTATCTTCCATCACACCACACATGCACCAGATTATCTTCCCTCACACCACACACATACACCAGATTATATTCCCTCCCTCCACACACATACACCAGATTATATTCCCACACTAGACATGCACCAGATTATCTTCCCTCACACCACACATGCACCAGATTATCTTCCATCACACCACACATGCACCAGATTATATTCCCACACCACACACATACACCAGATTATATTCCCTTACACCAAACATACACCAAATTATCTTCCCTCACACCAAACATACACCAGATTATCTTCCCTCACACCACACATGCACCAGATTATCTTCCCTCACACCACACACATGCACCAGATTATCTTCCCTCACACCACACACATGCACCAGATTATATTCCCTCACACCACACACATACACCAGATTATATTCCCTAACACCACACACATACACCAGATTATCTTCCCTCACACCACACATGCACCAGATTATATTCCCACACCACACACATGCACCAGATTATCTTCCCTCACACCACACATACACCAGATTATATTCCCTTACACCAAACATACACCAGATTATCTTCCCTCACACCAAACATACACCAGATTATCTTCCCTCACACCACACATGCACCAGATTATCTTCCCTCACACCACACACATGCACCAGATTATCTTCCCTCACACCACACACATGCACCAGATTATATTCCCTCACACCACACACATACACCAGATTATATTCCCTAACACCACACACATACACCAGATTATATTCCCACACCACACACATGCACCAGATTATATTCCCTCACACCACACACATGCACCAGATTATATTCCCTCACACCACACACATGCACCAGATTATCTTCCCTCACACCACACACATACACCAGATTATATTCCCACACCACACACATACACCAGATTATATTCCCTCACACCACACATATGCACCAGATTATCTTCCCTCACACCACACACATGCACCAGATTATCTTCCCTCACACCACACACATACACCAGATTATATTCCCACACCACACACATACACCAGATTATATTCCCTCACACCACACACATGCACCAGATTATCTTCCCTCACACCACACACATACACCAGATTATATTCCCACACCACACACATACACCAGATTATATTCCCTCACACCACACACATGCACCAGATTATCTTCCCTCACACCACACACATGCACCAGATTATCTTCCCTCACACCACACACATACACCAGATTATCTTCCCTTACACCACACACATACACCAGATTATATTCCCACACCACACACATACACCAGATTATATTCCCTCACACCACACACATGCACCAGATTATCTTCCCTCACACCACACACATGCACCAGATTATCTTCCCTCACACCACACACATGCACCAGATTATCTTACCTCACACCACACACATGCACCAGATTATATTCCCTCACCACACACATACATACACCAGATTATATTCCCTCACACCACACACATGCACCAGATTATCTTCCCTCACACCACACACATACACCATATTATCTTACCTCACACCACACACATACACCAGATTATCCCACCTCACACCACACATACACCAGATTATCCCACCTCACACCACACATACACACCAGATTATCCCACCTCACACCACACATACACACCAGATTATCCCACCTCACACCACACACATACCCCAGATTATCCCACCTCACACCACACACATACCCCAGATTATCCCACCTCACACCACACACCTCTCACCAGATTATCCCCCCCCCACACCACACACATACACCAGATTATATTCCCTCACACCACACACATGCACCAGGATATCTTCCCTCACACCACACACATGCACCAGATTATCTTCCCTCACACCACACACATACACCAGATTATCTTCCCTTACACCACACACATACACCAGATTATATTCCCACACCACACACATACACCAGATTATATTCCCTCACACCACACACATGCACCAGATTATCTTCCCTCACACCACACACATGCACCAGATTATCTTCCCTCACACCACACACATGCACCAGATTATCTTACCTCACACCACACACATGCACCAGATTATATTCCCTCACCACACACATACATACACCAGATTATATTCCCTCACACCACACACATGCACCAGATTATCTTCCCTCACACCACACACATACACCATATTATCTTACCTCACACCACACACATACACCAGATTATCCCACCTCACACCACACATACACCAGATTATCCCACCTCACACCACACATACACACCAGATTATCCCACCTCACACCACACATACACACCAGATTATCCCACCTCACACCACACACATACCCCAGATTATCCCACCTCACACCACACACATACCCCAGATTATCCCACCTCACACCACACACCTCTCACCAGATTATCCCCCCCCACACCACACACATACACCAGATTATCTTACCTCACACTGTACACAGTCACCAGATTATCCACCTCACACCATACCACACACCTCTCACCAGATAATCTCCCACAGCAACGCACGTGACATAGAGGAGCTATATTAAAGTAAACAAACGTGAATCCATGTTGTTAATTCACTCACTGTTTGTTATTGTCGAATTGGAGCTGAGCTAAACTATTGACCAACTTATCTACATCGATTTCATCCGTTTAGAAAAACAAACTGTATTTTTCTTCCAAAAGCACAAACACGCATTTTATCATGTGTGTGTGTGCGCGCGCGCTTGAGTTTGTGTGTGTGTGTGTGTGTTTGTGTGTGTGTGCGCGCGCTTGTGTGTATATGTGTGTGTGTGTGTGTAATTTGTTGCAGTGTTTCACTAGATAATGTTTTCTGCAGACATGTCAGAAAAAAAAATCTTATTATTTTGAAAACCTGACAGGAAAAATAAATCGGTTTAACTGTCAACAGCGAGGTAAGTTATTGTTGTTTTCTTCACCTTGATATTGGTGGTCGGCTAAATGAGGCACGGTACGCAATGCCGGCTGAGGCAGCTCCAGCCATTCATCTGAGGGACTGAGGTCAGTAACGAACTTACTAGCCAGCAAAAAGACAGCCATGTATAGTGATGATGAACAGACCGCAAGTAACTGCTTCAGCTATGTTATTCAGATTTCAATTTTTGAAGTAACTTTATAATAACCATAATGTTGCATAAAATACGAAGTAAACAATTCTTAGTTTACCGACCATCTCCATTCTACAGTGGATGTGTTTAGGGTACTCTAATTAGAGAACTCTAATTAGAGAAGTCTAATTAGAGAACTTCCATCTGATAGAATGGCATTCCCCAGCTGCTACTATATCCTATAAAAACATGAAACGTTACTAGACTCTCCTGACATTTAAAACTGAAATGGAGCCTCTAATTACTGGAGCTGAGCTAACTGTGAGCTATTGTTAAACTCATCGTGACCAGTCACCCGTGTCCACAGGCATCGATTTCACGTCTGAACTGGCGCGGGACGGCCATTGATCTCAATATGTAAAATACGGCCACAAAGGATCAGCGCGTGACGGTTGGGTGAATGTGAGGTGTGGTGGGTGAGTTACACTCAACAAGTGCGAACTAATTCTTTTAGCATCTCCACCATCGTGAGGCTAATTTACTTTTAAATATAGAACACGCCACGAATTAGCGGCTCGTTATGATCTAATATGTGGTAGTTACCGATATAGAACGCCGCGAATTAGTGGATCGTTATGATCTTGTATGTGGTAGTTACCGATATAGACCACTCCAGGAATTAGCGGCTCGTTATGATCTAAAATGTGGTAGTTACCGATATAGAACAGTCCAGGAATTAGCGGATCGTTATGATCTTGTATGTGGTAGTTACCAATACATTTCAGATACGTCATTCCTCTACCTAACGCTGGAACTAATTTATTGCCGAATTTAACTGCGGACGCCTCACCTGGGACTAATTGCTAATCAAGCAAGATCACACACAGCAAGGGTGAACAGCACCGTTCACCTGTACCATAGCATTAATTTTTTAACTTTTATTTTGTGGAAATAATTTGACATTTTTCAGGCATTATTTTCTCGCGTTTAATTTCTTTCCATTCTATTTTTTGTTTGTTCTCATCTCCATAATTGTATTGGCAGCTGTTACGGTCTATAAAGTCACTAAGCTCCGAGAGCTGTAGTGCGATCATTTACACCGTTCCTGCTCTGAAAATATGTCAATGTAAGCATTAAAAAACAGCTAATCGCGTTCCGGCATTTAAAGTGTGATTAGTAGAGTTATAGGCCCTAAAATACCTAGCATAGGGGGATTGAAAGAGATAGAAAAATTATTGCTAGGAGTTGGAAA